TTTGGTTTTATTTTTACATGTAGATATATTACTTTCTAGAATGATTTTTTCTTTTTTTAAATCATTTATGATTTTTTGAATTCTATTAAGTTCACTGGAAATAAATGACATTTCTGAAAGAAAAAATTTATTTATTTATTTATATAATAAAAAAAAAACTAATTTTGATTGATTCATATAATTTTGTTATATAATTTAACGATTTTTTCTATTTTTTCTAAAGTATCGTTTAACGGAAATAATACTTCAAAATCAAAATTAGCTAATATAAGATCTATTTTTTTATTCAAGATATTAAATATTTTTTCTTTTTCTTCATATTCTATTCTTTTTTCACAGAGTTTTTTTAAAATTTTTTCCAATTTTTCGGTTAATCTTTTGTTTTGATAAACAGCGATTTCATTTTCTTTTTTTAGTTCTTGGTTTTTTTTTAATAATTTATCATATTAACTATTTTCTACTATTTGATTATTTTCAGTTTCCACTTTTTCGTTTTCTTTCTTTAATCGGTTTATTTCGTCTGAATTCGTTGTAATTGAGCGGAAATCATTCTTGAATTGTTTTGAGGTTTTCGCTAGCTAAAACGATTTTATTTATTTTATTTATATCAGAAACCGAAAAGTTAATTTTCAATAAAATTAAGCTATTATCGATTTTTTTATCTAATTTTTCTAACGTTTCTGTTATTCCTATATTTAATTGTTCGTAAATAAATAAATTATTTCCATTTACGTCAAGTACAAGTTTATCATTTTTTTCTGTTAATTCTTTTGTTCATTAAAAAGAGTTTTTCGTTTTCTTCAAAGAGTTTTTTTACATATTTCATCGATATTTTGTAAATTTTTATTTTCTTCATTAAGGGTTTTTATTTTTATTTTTTAAAGTTTCTAATTCATTTATGATTCGGTTTAGTTCATCAGAGATTGACATTTTATTTTGTTATTTTATAAATTAACGAATACAATGTTGTTATTTATATTAATGAACTTTTTTTATTTCTTCACTAACTATAACTACTTTATCTATTTTAGATTCTAGTTCATCAGTTTTTATATATTTTACAATAAAATTATCTAATATAATATTTATTTTTTTATCTAGGTTTGTGTAGAATTCATCACATTTTTTTACCATTTTTTCTAATACCGAAATTCCTTCTTTCAAATATTTATTATCTCGTTTACATTTATCTAATTCTTTTCCCAATTCTTTATTTTCGTTTACGAGGTTTTCATTTGGTTCATTTTCTTTATATTTTTTCAGTTCTTCTTTTAGTTTGTTAATTTCGTCTTCGAGTTTTTATTTTTATCTTGTAAGATTTTTTTTTCTTTATTACAATTTTCTAGTTCTTGTTTTAATTTATCATTTGTATTTTTCAAGG